AAGAGGAGGAGGAGGAGGAGGGGGAGGGGGAGGAAAGGCGCCCTCTGTCAGCATGGCCGACTGCATCGTTTCTGGGGGCGTCGCTGGCACGCGCAGGCCTGCCTGCAGGCACGCACGGGGCAACGAGCAGGGAGGGCGGCTGCAGTGAGACCTCGGCAGCGACACAATGGAGGCCAGTTCACAAGAGACCTTCCCACTCGGGGACCACGACCCACTCGGTTATGCGGAAGCGGCTCCCGTCGAGCCCCTACCCGCGGCACCATTGGTGGCCCACCCCCGACCGACCCGGGCTGAGTCTGACTGGACCCGCGGATGGTCGCAATAAAACTCCTGAGGTCGGGGCAGCCAATGGGAGCGGTCGCGGGGCCGGAAAACGCGGGAAGCAGCGAGAGAGGGCCTAGGTCGGAGGGAATGGGGAGGGAATGAGATGATCCACGGGATCGCCTGTATAAGACACCCAGAAGCGGTGGGCACCGCAGTGGAGAGAAGGAGACGGCAGACTCGAGACCTGGCGGGAAGTCATCAGCCGCCTGAACGCTTCCTGAAATTTAGAACAGGACCTGCGACCAGAGGAACGGCAAGCACTCTGAGAAGTGGACCGAACAACTCGCGCGGCTACGACGAATTCAGTTGCGCGTTTTTTCTGGGAGACGCGGCCGAGGTTCAGTGCGACGACGCCCGCACCCTCTGGCGCCACCGCAATCTGGAGGTCGACTGGAGCGCGACGCGGCAGCATCATTATCAGCAGCAACAGCAGCAAAGCGGCCAGAGCCAGGCAGCCGGAGGGAAGTGCAACGGAGGCAAGCGCCCCAGGGAGGCAATCTGGCCCACTGGGGACGAGTCCCGGCTACGTGGACTCTAGCGGCGACAGGCGACGACGGCCTTGCAGCTTCCTGGGCCCAGTGGTCGCGTCACCGACCCACCGGGACTGCAGCCTTTGCGAGGTGCCTTCCACCCTAGGAGGTGCCCGCAAATTGACCCAACAGTCTGCGCGCTCGTTTGGTGCGTTTCGTCTGGCGCGCCCACCACCCCGCGGGGTGCGCCTCGCGAGGCGCCCTCCGTCCCAAGAGGCGCCCCGCGTCCTGGTCCACCTGTCCGCGCACCTGTTAGGTGCGTTCCGCGCGACGCGCCTCCCGCCCTGGGCGGCGCGCCAGCTTCCAGCCCCTCGCGCGCGCCCCCCCCCCCCCCCCCCCAGGCGACGCGCGTGGCATTGCTGCTGTGGGCGCGCCCCAATCTTTTTCAACACGCGCGTTCGCCTGTTAGGTGCGTCCCCGCGGGCGCGTCGCCCACCCCGGGCGGCGCGCCCCGGGCGACGCGCCCCACCTGGCACCAGCGCGACACATGCTCCAGGTGAGGCGCCCCCGCCCGCCCGCATCCCGACGGCTAATACTTCAATTGCGCACCGCAGGTGCGTGCTTTTCGCGTTGCCCACCCCGCATGGCGCGCCCCGTCTGTTCGCGGGCGCAGCGCCCCGCCGAGGTGCTGCGCCGTGCGCTGCCTGAGGCTCTGCCCTGCTCGCGGCCGCCTGCTCGCGCGCTGGCTGCAAGCTCGAGGCCTCTGCGCGCGGCGCGTCAGCCGTCGCGGCTGCGCGCCCCCGCGCCGCCCGCCGCTGGGTCGCCGATCCGCCTCGGGCCCCTCTGGCCCTTGCCCGGTTGGCGCACTCGCCTCCGAAGCGGCCGTGGGCCCCGCAAATTGGCCGCCGCCCCTGCTGGTGACTCGCGCTGCCAGAACTAGGAAGCACCGCCGTCGCGGCGCCATTTCCCCCTTCTCGCCTCCCGGTGCCAGAGGCCCGTGCCCACTTCCCACTCGACTGGGCGCCAGCCCGGCCTTGGCTGCGATGCGCGCGCCGGCCCCAGGCTCGGCCTTGCGCCTCTTCGCCCTCTCCGCTCTGCCGCCCCTTGCCTTTGCGTGGCCTCCGCGCGCCGCTCGGCGCCGGCACTCTCTCGGCGCTCTGCTTCGCCTGGCCATTTCGCCCCCCCCCGTCGCAACGGTCGCGCCTCGCGGGCCCCGCGCTGCACCGCGCTGGGCCGCGCGCCCAACCCGCCGCAGCCGGCCCTCGCCGTCGCTTTCCTGCCCCCACGTTGGCGCCGCCGGCCCGCCCCCTTCGACGGCTCGCCGCTCTCGCTGCCCCCCAATTGCTGAGCCCCGCCCTGCACTTCGGCTACCGGCTCCTCCCCCCGATGGTACGCCCGCGACGCCGCCCCGCGCTCGCTGCCAGGGGCTGCCCTGCGGCCTGGCCGCTCCGCGCGCCCACCGCGGTCTGGCCGCCTTCTTCCTACCTCCTGTCTCTGCGGCCGGCACTCTTCTCGCCCTCCCCTTATTGCCTGCGGGCCAATTCGCAATGCAGTAGCCCGGGTTGCTCGGGCGTGCGAGCGGATAGCCTGTCCCGCGCCGCGATGTAAAATAGAGAAAGGGGGCCTCCGCTGGCATCCTCTGGAAAAGATGCGCGAATCATGTGGCCAGGATTAGCCCTGCGCGCAGGTGCATTTGCCATCTCGCCCTGCGAAGCCCCAGCCGATTAAACCTCCCCATGTCCACCCAGATGTCTGAATCATCTGGTCGACGCACCGCGATGTGGTCGATGGCGTAGAAGGCGTTGGTGGCGTCGTGCGCCCGCGTTTTGAACCACTGTCATGCGTGAGTACGTCGCCAAGAGAATACCATTTCGATAATAACTGGTCCTTCCATGCGCCTGCCTGGGAAACATCGATACACGTATGAATGCTACAGGGCTGGGGTGGCTCGGTCATGCAAGCTGCGGTCGCACTCCATGGCGAGCGCGCATCGGCCATGATCCACACTCTCGCATTTTCCGGCAACTAAGCATGCCCCCAAAAACGCGCATATCACGATACCCGTGATACCGTTCAAGTGGGAATGGTGTTGGTTATTGTTATCATTATCCTGCTGCGGGCTGCGAACATTGTTTGCTGCTTCATTTGGGTAACATAGCTGGCGTATGGCATGCCACTTCAATCATGTAGGCTCAGTGTGTGGCGCGCCGTCCTCGTCATGACATGCCACGGCAAACCTATCATTGTATGTGTCCATGGCTGCACCCGTGTGGCCGGTCCGCCCCGTTTATTTGGCCAGCGCGCCTGCTTAAAGAGATGCGGAGAGTCGTGTGGTCGCCTCCTGTGAAAATCCTTGCCCGTCCTGATGATAATTGAACGCCGTTGGCCAACAACCTCCGCAAAATGGTTGCGATGTGTGCCGCGATGAACTACGTAAGGCGCCACTGGCTTCACACCAGCGCGGGTGTGTCGCGGTTTGGGTCGTGGGGCCGATCACGGGTGGGCGAGGAGGCGATCAAAAAGGAGGGGGAGGACTGTTGTCCCCGCCCCCCCCAAACACAAAACAGATGGTGGAAATGTGTCCAACTATTTTATGTTGTTTGGTTGGGGGTAACGGAACCAGAGAAAAGAGGTGCAGAGGAGGGCGACGAGGAGGAGGCAGGAGAGGAGGACGCCATAGAGCACGCCGAGCATTCACAGACGCGCGCGCCAAATTCTCGAGCGCGCGGCCTCGACCCCGAGGGACTTCACAATCCCCCTTCCCACAGAGGGGGAGGCGAGACGAGGAGGATGAGGAGGAGGCGGAGAGGGGGAGGGAGGAGGCGGAGGAAGAGGAGGAGGAAGAGGAGGAGAAAGAAGGAGGAGCAGGAGGAGAAAGAAGGAGGAGGAGGAGGAGGAAGAAGGAGGAGGAGGAGGCGGAGGAGGACAAGGACAGGGGGGAGGAGGAAGATGAGGATGAGGAGTTGGGGAAGGAGGAGGAGGAGGAGGAGGAGGAGGCGAGGATGAGCAGGAAGACGAGGACCACTCGGCGCCCTCGCCCTGCTGGCGCAAGCCGAGCTCTGGGCGGGGGGCCGCCGGCGAGCCTCGGCGCTGCCGACCGTATCGTGCTCGCTCTTGACCTTGGCGACGCCCTGGCCCGCGGGGGCGCCCCGCAGAGGGCGCGGGCCGTGTTTTTACGTGTTCTCCACCTCCTCCTCCGTCCTCGTTCCTCCTCCTCCTCATCCTCGCTCCTCGCTCCTCCTCGCCTCCTCCTCATCCTCCTCCTCCTCCTCCCTCCTCCTCCTCCTCCTCCTCCTTCTCCTCCTCCGCGTCCTCCTCCTCCGTCCTGGTTCCTCCTCCTCCTCTTCCTCCCTTCCTCCACCTCCTCCTACTCCGTCCTCGCTCCTCCTCCTCGTGCTCCTCTTCTTCCGTCCTGGCTCCTCTTCGTCCTCCTCCACCTCCTCCACCGCCTCCTCCTCCTCCACCTCTCTTCTCCTCCTCCACCTCCTCCTGCTCCTCCACCTCCTCTTCAAAAACCATGCCCCTCGACACAGGGGCATCATCGTCATTGGCCTTGCCGCCGCCGCCGCCGTCCTCGTCATCACCATCAACGCCACTGTCATCAACGCTCCCGCTGATTACCGCACCCGCCCGAGCCGCCGACCCGCCGGGAAGCGCCCGCTCGAGTCACCCGCCTGCTCTCGCTCCGCCCTCGCCTCCTGGAAACTCTGGGGGGTCCAAGCCGTCGATGGGAGAGGGAGGCTCGAGCGGTACAGTCGGGGCGTTGACCTAAGGAACCCTAAATAAGGAACGAGGCCCCCTTTTTCCATAAGTTAAACTTCGATTTCCCGTCGAAAACAAAAGGGAAGCCTGAGGCAAGCTGTGAAACACTTAAGGAACACCGAGCCCCTCCCCAACGAAAAGGGTTCCTTCTTCAGCACCCCGACTGTAATCCTTCAAAGACGGAAGCGTGCAAGGGGTCGGGGGAGAGCCCGACATCCTGGTCTCTCCACAGGCACCCCGCGCCTTCTTCTGAGAGGTGCCCGTGGTGAGGGCGGTGCGGCCGCCGTGCCGGGTGCGAGCGCCCACTGCAAGGCGTTGGGTTTTTTTTAATGGCCCTTTCAGCTCACAACATCGGCAGTTTAGTCACACATAGGGTGTGGAGCAGATAAGAACTACACGAGCTGCATCGGTCACGGTATCCTCGATCGCCTCCCTTCCTCCTCCCTCCTCCACACTCTCTTTCATTCCTCGTCGTCCTCCTCCTCCTCCTCCTCCTCATTCTTTCAAACGGCGTCGAAATTGGCGTCGACGGCGACAACACGCTGGGCCGCAGGGGCCATGACCGCGACGACGCGACGACCGCGACGAGCAGACGCCCGCGACGACGTGTTGGGCGTGGGCTCAGCCTCCCTGTCCTGCCCGTCTCTCGGCAGGCAGAGCTCCGTACGGTGGAGGCCAAGACGTCTACTGATATTTGGCGTGGGAGCGTCACGCTTTCCATGGCAAAACCATCGAAACCCAGGACAACCCGGAGGCAAGCAAGGTGTTTCTTGGCAGTGGGCCTCCACTGTAGAGCCACCCCAACCTGATGATAACCGGCACCTCCTCCTGGCCCAAGAAGAAGAGACACTCAATCAACACGTGGTTCGGAAATCCTCGGGGATTTCTGAACCTTCTCTCTCCGAACATTCAAGCCTGTGTACAGGCTTGTTATCCGAAATCCCTCCTCCCAATCCTCCCGTGGGCTACGGACAGAGGTGGCGCCTTCCTGTCTCAATCCTCGTCCTACGCTCAATCAGACTCGCCCTAACGTGGACTGCGGATCCGTGGATTTGGCGCATGGGCATTCGATTCATGGACCGCTTGAGTATGGTAAAGGGAGCTGTCTTTTGTCAACGCGCCTCGATCCAAGTCTGCGTTTCTTCGATTCTCTCAAGACCCCCTCTTCCCACCACAGCCGAAGTCCTGCCTCACACAGCCTCGAACAAGGAGCGAGGCCCCCTCTTGCGGCCCCCGCTGCGCCTGGTCATGTTGCATCATCGAGAGACCTTGTGTCTCCCGTCGCGGCCCGAATGATCCGTGTCGCATCCGTGTCGAATCCATGTCGGACTCGTCGCCTCCGTCTCGAACCCGTGTCGAATCCGCTTCGAATCCACGCCAAATCAGCGTCGAGACCGCATCGAGCCCATGCGCGGAATCGAGGCGGGGGAAGAAGCAAGCACGGCCTCCTTGACCTTGTCCTCCGCGGAGCCCGTGGAAGCTGGGCCGTCCTTGAGGCCGCTGTCCAGCTGGCGGCGCGCGTGGGCGGAGACATCGGGGGGGCATCGGGGATCGAGGAGGTCGAGGCTCGGGGATCTTGGAGCGAGCAGAGGAGGGAAGAGGATCGAGGGGAGCAGAGAAGGGTCGAGGAGGTCGCGGATCGAGGCATGGGGCTCGAGGGAGAAGCTGAGGAGCGAGGAGGGCGATCGAGGCGATCGAGGGTCGGAGAGGAGGAGGAGGAGGAGGAAAAGGAGGAGGAGGAGGAGGAGGAGGAGGAGGAGGAGGAGGAAGGGAAACAACAACTCCCACTCTGCATGTGGGACGGCACAAAACTCAGCTCGACTGCCGCACGGCGCCCTGCGGTCGCTGTTCCTGCACCGCGGGAGCGGGGGCCACGCACTCTGTGGGGCCGCACCGTGCAGAGGGGAAAGGACGGGACACTTGCAGGGCGCGGCTCCTCCTCCTCCTCCTCCTCCTCCTCCTCCTCCTCCTCCTCCTCCTCCTCCTCCTCCTCCTCCTCCTCCTCATCGCTCCTCCTCCTCCTCCTCCTGCTCCTCCTCCTCCGCCTCCTCCGCCTTCACCACCTACGCCTCCACCTCCTCCTCTCGTAAGTCATACGGACAGTATAGGAAGGACGAGTCGAGCAGAGCAATATGACGGGACACTAAAACGGAGGCAATGTGGCAACACCGATCGCTCCGCCAAACTGCGCAAGACGACTGCGAGCAAGAACCTGGACAGTACAGCTGTCCAGCGCGAGAGCCGCCGGCTGCTTTGGCACGCTGTCTCGATCCTGGATTGCCGAAGGTGGACAGCGGGAGAAGCATAAGGACGTACGGAAAAGGATCGGGAGCGGCCCAGAGGGGGGTGTCCAAGAGGGGGGGGGGGCAAATCATGACCGGCGGCACGTGCGCGGCCAGCGGGGGGACCAGGGACGTAATGAAATAAGAAGAAGCGCCATGAAACCTGGGGAGACATCGTGGCCCCCGCCATGATATCCACCCCCCCTATTCACCCCCCCAGGACAACCGGCCTCGCCCAGGCGCTCCATGTCCCAATTGTCATCGTCGAGCGAGTGTCGCCTCATGGCGCACGTAACGATGATCAGATCGCACATCAAAGCACCCAGAATCACGCACAGGACGCCGAGATCAGACAAGGCGCCCACTGCCTCGTAGCACGCGCCCCAAACCAGGCTCTGCTAGTACTCCGCCCAAAAAATTCACACCATATCATCCAGAATCTCTGTGACCTCGTCGATAACGTTGTCGTCGAGCAGATCACGCAGCCCCACGCCCATCTCGGTTGTCATGCTGCCCGTGGTGTCGTCGAGGGTTGAGAATGCAACGTTTACTCTCTCGTCGAATTCCGCAAGGTACCTCCCGAACTCAGCTAAAGTGCTACTTTGTTGGAGCCTCGAGCACGTGCTATCGGAACCCATGCGCGTTTCATAATCAATTGCTATTCCACCTGCGCTGGCGGCCCAGACGTCGCACACTATGCTAGAGGCGCCCTGGAAAACGTCGCAGCTGAACACAGCGTCGTTCCTGAGGCCCTCTTTCGTCTCAGTGATGAAGGATGTCGCCTGGTAATTGGCTTCTGGGGAGCAGGGCAGCAAACCCAGAGTTGACCTGCAAGGCGTGGTCAGAGCCAAGTTGCAGTCCGACTCTGCAATGGCCTAATCGCCGGTGAAGTACGCGTCCATGCCCAAGATAGGCAGATCACCGAAGGTGGAGTTCGAGCAGGCCAGCGAGGTGATCATCGTAGCGTCCTGCCCAATTATCCCGCCCGCGGCAATGAGGGCATCGATGTACTATCCGTCACGATGAGTTCTGCAATGGCTGCCCCGTACTCGCTCAGAAGCTGCCGCAAAATCACTCCCGTGTCCATGGCCAGCGCCGTGTCTTTGCTCGCCAACTTGGTTTGGAGCTCGTCCAATAGCGCGTCGATCGCTTCCTTCAGATCGGCCTCGATCAATTGCCTCATCGTCTGGGTGGAGCCCCCGGACGTGATCAGGAGGACGTCCGCGAAGTCTGCCGGCGCCGTGACGTCCAGCGGGTTGAGGCACTTGCCCACGATGTTCTTCGTCATGGTGAGGGAGTCCCCCGTGAGATCGAGGTCCAGCGCGTCCTGGGAGCCATCGATGACAGCCCCGCTGAAGCCGTCGAGGGTCAGGCACGTGACGCCCAGGGGCAAGCCGACGGCCTGCAGGAGCCCGCCGGTCAAGAAGCACGGCAGGGCCACGAGGAAGCCCCAACGCCAGCTGCGGCAGGCGCACCTGCGCGGCAGCACCTGCGTCTGCCCGTCCACGCCGCTCTCCCGCAGCGAGAATGCGAGGCGCCCCAGACAGCTGAAGATCGCGGCGAGCAGCCCATGCGCAGGGAGGGCGTGCATGCTCAGACTTCCCTCGGTCACGCTCGACTCCACCAGGCCCCAACTATCCCCGTCAACACGCGGGCCCAGGGCGTCCACGAGCAGCGCGTTCAGGTCGGAGGGCGGCGAAACGGGTTCGTCGAGAAACGCCCGCAAATCCTGGCGCTTGCCGGTGTCCAGCGCGGCCTTTGCTTCTGCGCGCGCATTGGTGAACGCCGAGGCCAGAGAGTCTGCCGCGGTGTCAAGCACGCCGGTGAGCTCGTCACTGAGAGACTCGCAAACTGGACACTTATACCCGTTTGGAACGCGATTGGCGCTCTCGTCCATCATGTCTTTCAGCAGCTCCAACGTCTCTGTCGCATGCGAGAAGGCCTTGTCGATCTCCGCCGTATCATCGATGAGGTGATTGAAATCGGTCACGAAATCGCTGTCCTCGTCGAGGATGTCGCTCAGACTGGTGAACCTGTTTGTCATCGGCGTCACACCGATGAAAATAAGCGAACTTGGACATTCGACAGTGGCCTTCGCCATCTTCGCAGCGTCGCATCCAAGGCGCTGGCTGCCGCCGCTGAGGTCTTCATACATGGCCGCAGAAAAGATCCAACGCAGGACCAGGCCAAGCTCCGACGCCAAGAACCAAGATTGAGCCGATCAGCTTGCAGACGAGACCCGTCGACTTCTTCTGTTCTTTCGCCCTGCGCACCCGGCAGCGCTTGCAGCAGGTGTAGCAGCCGCGACATCAAATCAAAAACAAGAGAACGAACAAGAGCAGGCCGGCCGCTTTCGGCGCGACATCTGTGGCACCATCGCCCTGCGTGTGCTCGATCGTTTTCGTCGGGGTGTCATCACTTTTTCCGCTTTGCAGAAGACCTCAATCGAGAGCCACTTCTCCCCGCCGGCAGCACTGTCCAATGCTTCCCTCGACGGCTCAGCGCTGTCTACGTCTGGGCAACGGCCCGCGATTGCGATGTCGTACTTGTTCGAGGTGGCCGCGCAGGACGTGGGCAGAAAAAGCCCATGCAAACGCCCGCGCGCCCTGAACGGACAGCATTGCCAGCCTTCCTGCTTGTCTGGCGAGCGCGCTGGCCCCCCTACCTCGGCGTTTGGCACTCAAACTGCTTGAGCCAAAATGCCAACGGAAAAAGGCAGAGGAGGACGAGGAGGAGGACGAGGAGGAGGAGGAGGATCGATCGATCGAGCTGTCGGGCCGATGTCGCTGGTGACTGCTGCTCTAGCTAGTGCTGAGTCTCAGTGCAGAATTAGCTCGGCCTAGCTGTGATCGCTTTCTGCCTGGGGGAGCAGACGCTAGAAGGCGCTCGGGCCCTGCCCGCGCCGTATGCCCCACGCGAGGGCCTGGGGGCGGGGTGGCGCCCGCCCTCGCGGATGCTCTCTCGTCAGTTGCGGCCGCGCCTTTTGCGGTTGCTTGCCTCGTTGCGAGGTGGGGGCGCGAGCCGAGGGGCCGAAAGGAGACAGGGAACTGCTGCTACTATCTGACCCTCTGTCGTGAGCACAACAGTTACCGTGCCATTCTCGTCTACCAGGAAAAAAAAACGAATTGTCTCCCACGCCTCGACCATCTGGCCGACCAGTTCTACGATAGTCTCCTTCAGCCATGATCGCGAAGCCGCGCGCCCAGTCTTCAGTCTTTCGGCGACCAGGTCGTGCACTAGATCCGCCATGCGCCCCAACTCCACTTCCTTCTCAACCTTGTCTCCTGGCTCGCCCGTGGTGTAGTAGATGTCGTCTTGGCCCTGCTTCTTGAGAGCGTTGTTCTCCTCCAGACTGATCGTCTCGTCCCCAGACTTTGATGTGTGGCAGTGCATCGGTTCCGTGACCTCGGCGCGATGAGGCTGAAGTGCCTCGTGCACGTCCTGCTTGAGGCGCCTGCAGAACTGTTCGTAGATGTTCGTGTAGTCTTCTCTCTTCTCGGCGATCTCCGCGAGCATGTCCAGGCAGTACTTCACGGACACGTAGAGAGAGGCGCTTTCCTCGTTGGTTACGTCCTTCGCCTTGTGCATCCACAGCGGCTTGTTCGCGGTGAGCTGCTCCCACTTGTGCGAAGCCTCTTTCATCCTTCGTTCGTTCTCCTCGTGGCTGTGCTGTGCTGGTCCATATCCGTCTCGTAGATCATCTCGTCGGCGCCCACGTCCGTGAGCGGTTCGGCTTCCAGCTCGCCCGCGGTGTAGTAGTTGTCGTGCGGGCCCTGCTTTTTGCGATTGTCGTTCTCCTTCAGACTGATCATCTCGTCCCCTGACTTTGAGGTGTGGTAGTGCCTCGGTTCCTCGACCTTGGTGCGATGAGGACCCTCGTGCACGTCCTGCTTGAGGCGGATGCCGTACTGTTCGTAGATCTTCGTGTAGTCGTCCCTCTTCTTGGCGCTCTCCGCGGACATCCCCAGGTAGTGCTTCACGTCCTCGTGGTCCACCCTGTCGTGAAACAGGGACTTGTAGAGGGAGGCGTTTTCCTCGTTGGTTACGTCCTCCGCCTTGTGCGTCCACAGCGGCTTGTTCACGGCAAGCTGTTCCGACTCGTGCAAAGTCTCCTTCCTATTGCTTTCCTCGTGGCTGTGCTGGTCGTCGCCGTCCGAGGACGTCTCGTAGATCATCTCGCATACATCCTCGTCCGTGAAAGACTTTTCGCTCGTGTGGTCCTCCCG